ATAACTGGTGTCAAGGTACCCTTTTCAGAGTCAACATTATCTTCTAACCTTGAAGCAAAGCACACATGAGCAGACTTTGAATCTTACTAAACTGCATTACTAACACTCATTAAAGTCTAACACATTAAAGTCTAATAATTATCTGATTTAATTTTTAACAGTAGAAATAGTTGCCTGATTGCTAACAAGTTCAACAATTCAACTTAAAATGTCTGTTGTTCACAGCTTGTTTGCCCTGTTATTGCAGTTTTAAGAAAATCTTCATCTCTGAAAGTTGTAGTTACACTTTTAGTATGTTTTCTTCTTGAATGTATATTTAAACATCTCTGTTGTGTGGTGTTGCTATAGGTGATCACAAGGATGCAACAATAGAGGAACTGCAGGAGCAGCCGAGAGACGCGATGTTTTATCTGGAGACGCAGCGGCAGATCGAACACCTGCCTCCGGAGGCTCACAGTGAAATCCAAGGAGGACAGATCAACATTGCAGCCAGCCCGTCGGATGCGACTGTCTGCAAATGTTCCACATCTTTTGCTGTTGCAGTGACCATGTCTCTGAGTGCATGCCCTGTGTCTTCTAGGGGGTGAGACACTGTGTGGCAGTGTCTGGGCCCCCTCCAGGAGGGTCTGTCCCGCAGCTACTCCAACACCCTGTTCAAGCTGCTGATGCTTCTCCTCTGCTGTCGCCTTTGAGCCTGTGATGGACCTGTATTCCACCTGGATGCCAAGCATGTACAGCACGATACCATAGAGTCAGTACACCATCTGTGCCCACGTTCAGAAAGCATCTCAGAATTAGGATGGTTTCACATTAGGGCCCTGGGTGCGGATCAGAGTGCACTTGACCCCAAAGTCCAGTTCATTTTGATCAGTGTGAACACAAGTATACCCAATTCGGGCACCGTGCCCGAGTCGGCTTTAAGAGGCGGTCTCGAGCAAGATTCATGTGTACTCAAGTACAGTCTGTGGGAGGTGTGAACGCAGCTGTGCTCAAACAAGGAAATGGGCCGCCATGTGACGTCAAAACTGCTCAACTCTGTTAGTTTAAACATTAACAAACATGGCTGTGAGGATCTATGGAGTAACGAAGAAGTGAAATGCTTGATTGAAATTTGGGCCAATGAAACCATACAGACACAAACTCTTGAGATTTATGGAAGTATTTACATGCACCCAGTTGATGACGTGAGTGATTGCTGCTGCTTCTCAGCAGATTGCAAACATGCACGCTGCCACCTGCTCTGTCAGACAGTTTACATGTGCGAGTGTGCTGGGGCACGAGACGGTCATACCTAATGTGAAAACCCTTCTAAAAGCGGAGCTGGAAGTGGACTTCAGACTAAAACACTGCGACCTCAGAGTAGGGCTGAGATGAAGCTTCCTACACTGGTTTTCAGCAGAACGACAACACCTGAGACAGCATGTCAGTCCTCACAGCTGCAGTGTGGAATACTATGTAATGGTCACATTCAGAGTACAATTCAACATTTATGTGTATTGGTGAGTAAAAGTGAGGTTTTTATTTTTTTGGTTTCACTTCAGTTTCATTTGCATAGCGCCAGTTCACAACAACAGTCATCCCAGGGAACTTGACCTAGTCGGGTCTACACCGTAGAGTATTATAGGAAAACCACGTGGCCACAGCAGGGAGGGAAAACTCCCTTTAATGGAAGAAACCTCCGACAGAGCCCAGCTCTAGGTGGGCGGCCTTCTGCCTTGTCTGTTTTGGGTGAGTGGATAGAGGAGAGAGAGAAGAAAAGGAGGAGTGGGGAGACATTCAGTGCTGCGTAGTGGTGGCATATAAAAATAAAACAGCAACATAATTGAAGTACTGCAAGTCAGCAGGGCTTCTGCTGGAACTAAGTGATTTAATAAATATACAGCTCAGTTTGGTGTTTCCATAATGTCCCACTGAGGCAAATCTTTTTAATAAGCTTGTCAATTAAAACCTCCTCCACGTCTGTTCATGTCTCCTGGCAGCTCTTAACAAGTTATGGCACCTCATGCTCTTGTAACTATCAGCAGAGACGGAACTGTTCACCTCACTGAAGAAAGCTGCTAAATCTTTTTTACTCCTGAGCCTTAAGATAATTTCTGACACCGATTTCCTACGCTGAGGTAAAGAGGAGGCCAGACCAGCCAGAGATTTCTGAGTGTACTATATATGTTTTCATTTCCAGGTTTCGGTTAACACATTATGCTGAGTCACTGCGTCAGTTCGCTGCAGCCTCCCAGTCCTGTAATTTCTCCCTCAGCTTTTTCCACTCTAACCAGAAAGATGTAAGTCTGTCCTGCTCGTTGATTTGATTTCTCACACTTTCAAACCCACAGTCTCGTGCTTTCTTGTTACTTTTTCCTTTAACTTCTCTGCTTGTCTCCCTCCTCCTCTCTGTCCACCCCTGTTGTCTTCTCCTAATCCCACTACCAGACCTCAGAGTACATCATTCAGGCATATAAGTACGGAGTGTTTGAGAAAATCCCAGAGTTCTTTGCTCTCAGGAACGGGTTGAACCAATCACTGCACTTTGCCCAAGTCCACACTGAGAGGATGCTGCTGGACCTGTTGTGAGAAAACACCGGCTAAAAGATTGCGACGTGCGCTGTGCAGCCGAGTTCTTCACTTTGCTGTTGTTTTATAATTCTTTTCCAGTGTGTCCAGTCTGGAGGACAGTGTGAAGGCCATGTCTTTGTCTGCAGAGGAGGATGACATCCCCTGGAATAATATGAGGGACAACAGAGACCCTGTTTGTGAACTCGAACATGAGTCTTTAACTCATTTAATTTATTGAATGTCCCTTTTCCAAAGCGTTTTGGGCTGAGATTTGTTTTACCTTTCACTTCTTACAAAAAGCTAATTGTATATGTTTCTACAAACTGATTTTGGTAAAAACCTGGATAACACAAATTAAGCTTTTATGTTTAATAGGGAAATTTGATACACATAAAGCCAGAGTGATGTCCTCTAAACCAAATATTCATTTGTTTTACTCTAAATTAAATATTTTGGCTAATTCACTAAAGATGGTAAAGCAAAATAAGACAAACTTTAAAACATCCTGCATTTTGGAGAAAATTACAGTGACAACCACAAATGAAGGAAATATTCATAGAATATACGTTGTAAATTGTTTATTCATTTCTATTTATTTTTATAATTCTAATTATTTGTTAGATTACACTTCTGTCTAATAAGAAGCTATGCCTCACTTTTGATTTGGTTGGTGAGATGGTGCAGGTCGTCAGTCTGTCACCGGGCTGACATGTGGACAAACCAACCACACACACACACTCACTCCTGGGGCCAATTTAGAATCGCCAATCAACCTAAGCTGCAAGTCTTTGGGCTGTTGGAGGAAGCCAGAGTACCCGGAGAGAACCACACAGGCACAGGGAGAACATGGAAACTCCTCACAGAAAGGCCCCCAGGTCTGCCTGGGCTGAACCTTCTTGCTGTGGTGAAGGGGGCTGATGTTGGTACATGAAAATATCTTCCCAGTGTCATCTTTTTCTGAAGGTAAAGCATTTGGAGATGCTCCACCCACAGTGGGGGTAGCCCGAGCGCCAGGAGAAGAAACCACACAGACACAGGGAGAACATGCCCTAACTGTAGGGTGAAACTTTTGCAGTTCTACCTACACAGGAGAAGAAAGTGACGGCACCAGAGCCTTGCACCGTCACGTACTTTCTGATAGAAGAGGCTATGCTTTTTACAACTTCTGGGTTCTTTGAATACATGTCAACCAGTAGACGGTCTGGACAGCCCCACTTCTTACATAGGTCCTTGTAAATAGTTCTTGTGAGGATTTTTAAAGTTCCTGACTTGATAGGAATATCGATGCCCTCGACTTCCACCCATGTCCTTTCCAGCAGGTGTTCAATAAGAGCTTCTGAGATTGCATTGGGACCCATTTTTGCCTTTTTGGCTGTCCGTGTAAGGAGATCCTGCACAAGAATCCTGACAAATGCTTTTTTGTTGTCCACCTGCAGTGTGATGTCCTCCACAGGTCCATCACACGTGTTCTCCTGTTCTGACGGCTCACCAGTGACTAAAGGTGCCGTGTCCTTGCATCCTGGCGGCTCTCCGTTTATTACATCTACAGGGGCCTCAGATCCTGACGGCTCACCTGTGACTAAAGGTGCCGCGTCCTTGCATCCTGACGGCTCACCGTTTATGCATTCACCTCTCACTAAGGATACTTTCCTCACAGCAGACATTATTCTATGTGTAAACCATTCCCTGTGTTTGCTGGCCTGACTGGTCATCCACCAGTCAATCAGTTTCAGTAAAGACTGTATTTTGTCTTGTATGTCAGCATACAGGGCAGCAAGTGACTCAGGGAGACTCGCTTTCCTTTACCTGTAATGTGTTTATAGAGCACATCGCTAAGTTTCATTACAGGTTCTGCATCAGCTGGACAGCAATGCAATACAACATATTTTCTACCCATCTTCTTGAAAATCATAGGTTCAATATCATCCATGAGTGACTGCACTGACTCCCTGCTTTCAGCTATAGAGTCATGATGGCATTTCATCAGCTGAGCCAGGATGCGATACATTAATGTTCTGGCAAACAGCTTTGCAAAGAGGTTTTCTGTCTCCAACTCAATACTTTCCACAGTCTTTTCGGGGCACTCTAAGTCATTTGGGTTTTGTCCTGTAGCAACAGCGTATTTCAGATTATAAGCATATTCAGCAGTTAATGAAGATATACAACAAGCAACAGGTTTAACCTTCTGACAACAGTCAAGTTGTAGCAGCTTGTACTCGGGGTCTGGCACATCTCTCAAAAGAGTTTTTGTCATGAAGTCCACCCCCATGCATAATAATTTCCCAACAGCTTCAGTTCTCTTCAGAAGGAAAGCCTCTTTAAGGTAGATGAATGTTTGTTTCCTAACCGTGTCTGGTGTGTACAAGGCGTCATTCTTTTTAAATGCCCCGCTTAACACAATATGGAAATGGTTAATCAGCTCGTCTAGTGTTGTATGATAAACCATGGGACAAATTATAGGTGACAGAGAGACCTTGATTATGTCGGGATGTGAAAACCTTGGGACTCTGTCGTTTGGTTCAAGAAACAGGTACACAAGGTGTGCTATGCTGACATGCTGTAACCCACTTAGCACCCCGATAGTCATAAAAGGAGAAAAACTCTTAGTGAGCGTTTCATGTAGAATGGACCGAAGCTGTGCATAGGTGATGTTCCTGTTTTCCACTCTGACCATTATCAGTTTACGTGACAACAGTCTTACAACCTCCAAAAGCAACTCTGCAAGCAAAGTTTTAGGAGCAACATCATAGTACGTGCGTCTGTCATTTAACAATAGCATCTGAGATATTGTTAGGCACTCAAACAGGGATTTGATCCGTCCGACTAGAAAATCCTCCAGTTCTTGTGACATTTCTTCGATATATGTCTTAGTTTGTTTAGACTTCGCCATTTCTTGCACTAAATTCTCAGCAGTCTAACTCTTTAGCAGTGTTTCGATGTAATGAAGTGAGGCAGCGCGTTCTCTTCCTATGAACCTTTGATCTCTTTGACGTCACCGAGGACCCGGATCGAGATGTCAGCCTCTTGAACGGCTGCTTGCGCGCATGCGCATGCCTGGCAACAGTTGCCATGTCGAAAATATTCAGATAACATAAGCAAATAATTAGAATTATAAAAATTAATAGAAAAGAATAAACAACTTACAATATATATTCTACCTATGAATATTTTCTTCATTTGTGGTTGTCATGGCAATTATTTCCAAAATCACGGTCAAAGTGTTTATTTGTCATATGCACAGTTAGGAAACGTGTTTCCCTGTACAATGAAAATCTTACTTTGCCGTCCACATGAATGCCACAAAAATACAAATGAAATATAAAGTAGATAAATAAGTAACACAAAATCTAAGACACTTTAAGCAGCAAATGCAGCAATATAATAAAAATATAATAGAGAATGTATGCTGCATGGGAGCAGCATGTGCAGCAGTCAATGTGCAATTATGCATGCATCGTTTACCATCTTTAGTGAATTTGCCAAAATGAGTAAAACAAATGAATATTTGGTTTAGAGGACATCACTCTGGCTTTGTATATATCAAATTTCCCAATTAAAAGTTCTCCATTTTCATAAAGAAGTCACATGAAAATCATTATACCAGTGCGCTCAGACAGCACATGTATCTCCACCAAGGCACAACATTCACTCACACAAATGGGTCCCTTGTGGAAAAGTGTGTCCTAAAATCCTTATTCTGGATTGGATCTGATTCATCTTTTAGGGTATGATAGAAAGTTATACTGTGCATCTTACCTGAACATTTCAGGGTTGTATCGTCATTATAGGCCAGGTTATGGCAGACAATATGGGTTAAATGGGGTTTTCAATGTCAGTGACAGAGAGCAAGATACTGCATTTTCCAGCGAAGCAGTATCTCTGCCACGCCATAATCCCCCGCTTATTTTCATTTTTTCTCAACATTACAAACCTTTCACATCACCCCCCCTACCCCTTCATTGCTGTTTTTAACAAGTTCATCCACAACTACATGGAAAAAAGATGAACATTTTATGAAGGCCAAGAATCCAACCTGGACACATTCTCACATTCTCAGCAGCGGGTTGCATGTTTTGTACACTGGTTAACATGAGGGAAAGGGACATTCTTCAACTGTGTGCCTTTTTAACAACTGACTTCAAGTTCATTTTCTCTTTTTTTGGATCTACTGAATTGGGTGTAAAGTAACAAATGCTTTGAGGATTGTAGATGTTAATGTAAAAATAATGAACCAGTGACTTTAAGAAACAGCTACCCACTATCCCCTGCACATTATCTTGATGTAACTATGTCTTTTTAGACACTAATAGCGTAGCTTGAGGAATGGCACTGTTGGTCTGCTTAAGCAATTGGTGATTAAAAACTGTCTTTACATATGGGTTTTACTTCCTTGTGATACTTAAATTTCTAATTTTGGTTCACTGGATGGAGTTGTATGACCAGAAATGTAGACTGCCCAACTCAGAACTCAGAGAACAATGTAGGTGTTTAGAATGCAGCCACAGTGTGATCAGGTTTGTAAAAGACTCAAATCAAATTTTATTTGTATAGCGCCAAATCACAACAAAAGCCATCTCAGGACACTTTACAAAGTAAGGTCTAGACCTTACTGTTATCATTATTATTACATAGGGAAAACCCAGCAAATCCCCCCTTGAGCAGCGCTTGGCGACAGTGGGGAGGAAAAACTTCCTTTAATGGAAGAAACCTCCGACAGACCTCGGCTCTTGGTGGGCGGCCTTCTGCCTTATAATAAAAATATATAAGAATATGATGAGAGAATATATGCTGGATGGGAGCAGCATGTGCAGCAGTCGACAGTCAATGTGCAATTATCCATGTGCAAACAGAATGTAAACAGTACATGACGTATTTCCTGGTAATAAACTCCTCAGCTGTTTAGGAGTCTGATGGCAGAGGGAAAGATAGAGTTTTTCAGTCTAATGGTCCTGCATTTCACACTTCTGAACCTCCAGCCAGAGGGTAGGGAGGTGAACAGTCCATGCTGGGGGTGGGTGGGGTCTTTGAGGATGGAGGCAGCTTTCCTACTACTACCACTATCAGCATAACATGGGTAAAGAAAATACGAGCCTACTTTATTTGTGATCTACTTCACCATCATCGGATTTTATTGTGGACTCAGTGACTGGGGGCACCATAGCAGTTTGTCCCATATGAAATAAAACCTTGCTGTGTGACACTGAATGCTAGTATTTCTATTTTTAGAAGAGCATCCTCTTGTGGCGTAAAGAGATCTGTACAGAAGCATCTAATGGACATTATCTTGCAAAATGTACTGACACTGGGTGATGAGACGGGAAACAGATGGAGCAGGAACACAGACCTGATTCTCTTGAGATACTCTTTTGTCTCAGGCTTTGTAGAAATCCACCGAAACAATAAGCAAATGGAATATTACATTTAAATATGGTTTATGGACAGGGTGTGCAGGAACAACAATAACCACAACATGTACCACAGTTAGACAGGCGTACCTAATAGAGTGGCTGGTGAGTGTATATTTAAACTAC